CACTGCTGCCCTGTTTCAATAGTCGAGCCGGTCCCGCAGGAACAGTTTTTATAAAAGTTATCAGGCTCCCCCTTCTTAGTAGCTTAACAGAGTCGACTTTGAATCTAAAGCTGCGTGGAAGGCTGGGATAACTGTCTGCTCGCTGATTTCTTCAAATTCTCTCTGTTCTTCATTCCGTCTGCAACTCTGCGGCAACGAACCAATGTAGATGGGAAGCAATTTCCTCGACGCTGGCTGAGACCACAGCTCGACTGATCGCTATGCTGATCACAGTATCAGGGCGAAGCTAATTACCAAAGGATAGTTCTCTTCGAGTCCTTTCAAGGTCTTGCTTTTGCTCGATGTACGAATCAAAGTCAAATTCTTCCCCAGTCTTGGACATGTGCGCTTCCGGGGAACTTATCGCGGTCATCAGGCTTCCCGTCCAATCAAATTCATAAATTTTGTACGAAAGTCAACTATCGCCGATAAGGCCAAACCCGCTTGAGCGAAGGATCTGGACTATCAGCGACTAGGACCTCGCCGTTGTACCACACACTCAGGAGATATGGAAATCTCGACGGCTTACACGCTACTTCAAGAGTTTGGTTCTCGTACGGGAGTATGGAAGCCGCGATAAATCCGTGAGCGATCAGCGATTTAAATAGTCGGACATAAGTCTATTGAAAATGGGGTTTGATAGATATTCATTCGTCGCGACACACCGATGACGAACCCAATACTGTGAATGAAAAACATATAAACTAGGACTACTATTCAACCCCTTGACCGTTTGAACCTTTGGGGACACCGATATTCATACGTTGTACACGCAGCCTTTTTAAGTCCTATCATCCATGGAGGCTCCCAGGACGCCAATAGAGGACCAGAAAATGGCCGTGCAAAGCTCGCCCACATTGACGTACGAACCAGCTGCCTTGGGCACCATTGCCAAAGTCGGCTTCCGCGACAAGGTTGCCCAAGTCTCTGCGTATCTCATATCGAGAGACGCCTGGCTTGGGGATTACGACTATTGGTACCTTGTCACGCCAAACATTCCTCCATTCAATAGGAGGTATAAGGAAAATGCAATCCCCTTTTACGGCCTGCATGACGAGGTTCCCATTCTCTTGACCATCATCCTGGGCTTACAGCATGCGCTCATTATGATCGGGTCGATCGTGTCGCCGCCATTAGCCGTAGCATCCGGTGCGTTCAATCTCGCTCCAGCACAAATCTCATACCTTGTGTCGGCAGCGTTCATCACCACGGGCATTGCCACGGCCATCCAGGTTACGCGGCTTCATATCAAGGGTAGCCCTTTCTACGTTGGCACGGGTCTTCTGTCGGTCGTAGGTCCGACATTCGACATCATTCCAATTGCGTTTTCATACACCAGCATGCGCTATAGCAACGGAACGTGTCCAGTTGCTGAGGATGGAACACAGCTTCCTTGTCCGGATGCATGGGGGGCATTTCTGGGCACAATGCTCTGTACAGTCCCTATCCAGATCGCCATGTCGCTCGTACCCCCTCGGCTTCTCAATAAGATCTTCCCAAAGATCATTACAGGTTCCCTCTTGCTACTAGTTGGTGTCTTTTTAATAGGCAACGGTATGCAAAACTGGGCTGGCTCCTCCAACTGTAATGGCGGCGAGGGCTACTACGCGCTGTGTCCGAGCATTGCCGCTCCGAAGCCACTTCCTTGGGCAGATCCCAAGCTAATAGGATTGGGCTTCAGTGTCTTCTTTGCCATTGTCTTGGTGGAGCAATTTGGTGCTCCTCTCATGAAATCGTCATCTATTTTGGTCGGTCTCGCGGTGGGATGTGCTATCTCTGGTGCAACTGGATATTGGTCTCGCGAAAATATCGACGATGCCCCTGTAGTCACTTTTCTCTGGGTTCATACGTTCAAATTTTCCGTCGATGGAGCCCTCGTTCTTCCATTACTCATCATGTTCATCTGCCAGGGCGTGAGTTGTATGCCGGACATTCTCGCTACGGCTGAGATATCTGGGGTCGACGTCGAGGGCACCGAATTCAATAGTCGAATCCAGGGTGGAATTCTATGCGATGGTTTGGGCAGTCTGATCAGTGCCCTAGGCACCGCGGGGCCTATGGTTTCACAGGCCGGCAATAACGGTGTCATTATCCTTACAGGATGCGCGGTAAGAGACATCTTGTTCTCCTTTCTCTAAGGATTGTGCTAACAGCGACCTTCCGCAGTCTCGTCGCGCCGGCTGGGCCGCCTCCGTATTTTTGATTCTCATGGGCTTTTTTGCCAAATTCGGCGCCGTCTTCTCGGCCATGCCACCCTCGGTCCTTGGTGGGATGCAAGTGTTCCTGTATGGCACAATCGTTGTAGCAGGTATTCGAATACTTGGAATGGTCCAGTATACCCGGCGGAATCGGTTCATTCTAGCCGTCGCGCTCAGCATTGGATTCATCGACATCGTCACCCCGACGTGGTTCAACCGGATACTTGACTACAGCGGATCAAACGTCCACCTGCAGGGCTTTGAGCAGGGTCTCAATCTCGTTGTAGAGACCCCGTTCATCGTTGCCGCCGTCATCGGTGTCTTTCTGAATCTCGTCTTCCCTGACGACAAGAGTGAGATGGACGAGATGATGTTTGGCTCTGATTCCAGAGGGAGCATGGCATCTCTTCCTCAGGTAGAGCACCGCATGAACTCATAGACCTATCGTGGCCGTTGGTCCATATTTTTTTCAGACCCAGGGAATAGCTTCAGAACACCTTCGAGTTACTCAGTTGTTGTTTGTGCTGTAGGTATGGGGCATTTGCGGGCGACAGCTGTAACTTTAGGCAAAGTAGTTTCAAGTATTTATTCTTCTTCGGTGAATGAATCTCATAAGAAGGTCCTAGAACACAAATACTTCATCAATTTTAACAAGAGAGCAAGTTGATAAGCATATGGCTGGTACTACCTCCTTATTTCAGAGGGAGGGTGCTGTAAAGAACATCTGATTACAGTTGCGAGATCGAACAATGTCTGGGGGCCTTATCAGTCGTATTTCAAGAATCCGATTCTGACAGCTCTTGGAGTGGAGAGTTATAGTCAGCACACTGGACATTTGGAGGTGTTCGAAGACGGGACAGGCAGACTTTGGGCCGTATGTCTCGCAGTGAGAAAAGATAAGAGTGGTCAACATGTTCTGGAAAGGGAAACGTTCATCACCGCAGTGCAGTGACCGCAAGGAGAGTGGCCTCGGATTGACCATGTTGAACCAGACCCCAATGCGCTATCATCTGTGAATAGAGAGGCACTCTTACAGTTAGGCCAATGAAAGATTTTTTTTATATCCGCGACGCAGATCTAAAAAGCACCGAATCATAGATGAAGCCGACACGATCACCCTCACGACTAGCAACATTGACATGACAGACAAGAAAAGACTCGCCAGCATTTATAGGCAAATAACAGCGTAAACTCAAGGAAGAAGTGCGGCGATGATGATCTTTCAATCAGAAATATGGGGAAGCAAGCTTGAGGCGGGCTTGGCCTCGTACAAAGACGATTTCCGCTTCCTGAGGATATATGATGATGCTTCTGAGTCTGCGGTAGTCTTCGAAGTGTTCAACAAGGCGAAGAATATTCACTCAATATCCAAGCACAATATCCCACACAGACAGAGCTTAGGATTTCAAATTCTCTATAGTGAGTAGGAATACCGCGCATCTTATACAGAAAGTCAAGGTCCCAACGCCGACTGGAAACTTGCCGGAACATTGGACACGAACGCTTTGACCAATCTGGATTTCACTGGACCTGTAAACGGCGTGTTCGCGGTCAATGATGGACAGTCTTTAGATCTAGTGATTCGGGATCTGATAGTTGATTGAGAAATTAAGTTCGTCAACGTATCGATCTATTTCAAGCATATAGAGAGCTTAAGTAGATACCAATGCGGTGTTGTATATATTACATGCACTACTAACGTATTGGATCATGTCTTATTCTGTATCGTATTGTACAAAAATGATGAGCGGATAAAGCTATCATTGCCCGGCTACCCAACCGGGCGTATTGACCAATCATGTTGCATAATTCGTCGTACGGGAATAAATCAATCTGAACCCGACAAATAACCCCTGGCTCGTCAATCGGGCATCGGCTTCCAGATCTTGTCGTGCGATAACAAGACGAGTTTTTGATAACATTGATTCTCATATCTATGATGATGGTTGAAGATCTGACAAGATCTCGGGCAAAGATCTTTTCTGAAACCCATCGATACTGAGTGTGAACCAATCGCTCGGATCCCTCCGCAGCGAGTATACCAAACCTAGATCTACCTCAGTGAGAGTCCTTTGTGAGATTACGATGTATAATAAATAGACTTTTGCCACGCCTTGCTTCCAGTGTAAGCCACAGCACCTTCGTTAGGTATACACGGATTAATCCTAAAGATGCGAGCCCGAACACCCACCGCATTCTTGCTGTTCTCTAGCAGCCTCCTTTCCCTCACTGCAGCAGCAGCCGCAAAACCATCACGCGGAGGTGGCCAGCCCATCATTATTGACACAGATCTCTTTGGCGACGTTGACGATGTTGGCGCGTTGACTATCGCTAACGTGCTGCACAACTGCGGCCTCGCGGATATCAAGGGAATCGCAATCAATACGCATTCAAAGTATGGGGCGCCGGCTGCTAGTGTATGTGGTCTCCATGATTCCTTCTTTACTCTCACTGCACAAAATACTAAGAGGTAATGCGAAAACTAGGCCATTTGCACACACTTCGGTAACGGCGATGTACCAGTCGCTGCGATCCGTCCGTTAACGGATGAAACCTTTTTTGATGATTGGGAATACGTGTATGTTATCGTTGTGTTCAAGGTAACCTTCTCAACCAAATGTGGCAAATACTCACACAGGTTCATACATGTAGAAGGGGTGAATACGCCAGCAAGGTCGCTTACAACTGGCCGGGAACTCTCACCAACGCCTCCCTAGCCCCAACGCCCGTCGAGCTCTATCGTAAGGTTCTCGCTGCAGCAAGCAACAAAAGTCTCCATCTCATTTCCATCGGCTTCCTCACCAACATTGCGGATCTTCTCCGATCCAATGCGGACCACATCAGCCCGCTTGGCGGTCGAGAGCTCCTAGCGGCCAAGGTCAGCGAGCTCATCATCATGGGTGGAAGGTACCCTTCTGGCTGGGAGTACAATTTCGGCGGAACTGATCCCAATAGCACGGCCTACGTTCTCGATCATTGGCCAAGAACCGTGGCCGTGACATTCTCCGGCGGTGAACTAGGAGGCAGCATCTACTCTGGCCAAAGACCATTGATGGAACAGACGCCGTCCGTCGATTCTTTGACAGTCTCAGCTTATCAATGGTACGTTACTCGCGGGTCCGTCGAGCGCGAGACGTGGGATCCCATCACAACGCTGTATGGGATCTTGGGAATTGATGGATTCACGAAACTCGGGTTGCAGCCACTGCTAAAGTATGCGAATGATTACGGGTATAATCACATCACCGCGAGCAATGGAACCAATGCATGGGTCAATGATACGAGCGTCAAGAACCAACATTGGCTGACATTGGCTGATGGTGTCACGAACACAAGCGTGTCCTGGTTGGTTGACAATTTTCTTATCCACCCGCCTGCCTCATCAAGATGTCTTGTATAGATAGGTAGCTCTGTTCAAAGGTGTATTTGATTGGTTTATCTGATATTTCTAAAGTAATGAACCTAGAGAGTAATGGTAATATAAACAGCGAGACCTCACACCCACTGTCTTTTCCGTCACAGTAGCCAGTATCATGCAATTTATTCTCAAAATCCGTCTAGGTACATATAACGAGTTCGTTTCCATGTTTCTATATAGTTGGTATCCACGTACTAGTGATTACCTATCAAACCGTTTATCACGGACGCGTCATTAGGGTCAGCACCTTCCATGTCTCCCACCTGAACGTTGCTGCTGGTATCATATCTAAGTTTAGACGGTTGCACTAAGCTCTCAGCTTTTCAATACTTTAGCGTGTTAGATTAGTTGTCAATGTTGCTGGGATTATCACTCTTAGGCTTCAGATGATCATGAACATCATGGACCTCTCTTTCTATATGGGAGAGATGGTCGTGAAGACCATATCCCACATGGCGCAGAATTGTATAAAGTTGGGTGACACGCCTGAAAGCCTTCAAGTCAGTGAAACTTACAACCATAAGGGTAAAAGCAACCAGATTCATACCAGCTTGATATGTCCATGCTGACCTGACGGAATATATCTTCGGTTTTGCCCATGAGTTCTATCAATTCCTCCTGTCTCACAAATAACCGCACTTTTCCAATCAAGCATCTGGCATCCAAGAGCAAACAAGCATTGATAAACAACACGCTAAAATTGAGGACAATGATAACGCATGTATATATTGGTAAAATGCACCAAAACACAATTTTTACCCATGTATCTGCATTCGGGATGTCGAATGGCAAATAGTAGCTGAATAGGGAAACGAATGATCGATTATCACCATAGCTCCTCAAGGCTGACCTCTCTAGGGAATCGAGTGCTTCGTGTGTTTTCTTGAAGTGTTGATGCGCATTAGCAACTTCTGATTTGATACGATCCGATTCAATTAATAATAGCTCCAGAGCGTGTGAGCTATCGAAAGACTGTCGATACTTGGATTCGTCCTGGATCTGGTCGCCTAATGCCCGAAGCTCACGTTCGTAGGCGTCAAGGCGTTGTCGCAACTGTTCAAAACTGGCCCGCGTGTTGGCAAAGGTGCGATAGGATACATACAAGCCTGCGGCTAGAGCATAGGCAAAAGTCAGAAGGCTTACAACTGACGCTGTAATTTCCAGTGGAGTGTCGCTGCCGTCCTGAGCGGACGCGTATACATGGGTGTCATTTGAAGCCATTCCGGTTTTTGTTCTCTTTCGCCGCAGATGTCACGAAAGCTTTAAGAAACCTTTGACCAAATTGTAATAAATACGGAAAAGACACTCTAAGCTCAAGGTGTGATAAGGCTCTCCGATATCAATTCTGCCTAGGCAGACTATGCAGTGACACCTGAAATATTAGGCATGACGAGGCTGTGAGAAAAAATGATGAAATACGACATATGGCACCTGTTTTGAACAGCCATGCAATGTGCTGTCTGGCAGAGGAGCCTAGGCTCAAATTTTTTGTTTTGTTCTGAGCGACTTTACAAGGTGAGGCCCAACTCCTCGGGTTATGCTATGCTTTCCACTCCACTCAAGGTCAAACAATGCGAATGTCTTCGCAATTGTTCTCATTGAAGCCCTCCCCATCCATGATACCATGCACATAAGCTTCTCCAACAAAATTATATGTGCCCTCCGTTTTGCCAGGCCTGACAACGAGCGGCACTCTTCCCCCTTTTACAAACACTATCCGGTCCCCTATCTCAGCCCCTGCAGGCAACAAAGCCAGAAACCCATTTGCGCCCCGTCCCAACCGCCTTTCATACGCCATCTCCAGGAACTGTGCGAATTCTGCGTAGCGCTGCCATGTGCAGTTTATGTATCCTACGAATGCCAGCGGTCGGGACACGCGGTCAATCTGCCACCTGTGTAAGCGGCTGATTGGCTTGAGGTTGGCACGCCATGCGTAAAACAAACGCGCCGTCGCCGCTCTGCCTTCGGGGGCCAGAGCTCCAGTGCTCAATGTCTGCCAGTATATGGCTAAAGGATCACTCTCCTCGCCTGGACCAGGGGGTAAAGGTTGCGGATTCGTGGGCGGAACGTCTCGAGCAAATTCTTCCCAGTCAGTAAAGACGCCAAGATGTGGAACGATGCAGGCGAGCATCGAATACAAGGTGCCGAGTCTTGAAAGAACGATTGGTAGGAGAGCCAGGCGCGATGCTAGGGTGTCGCCTAATTTCAGGGGTTCGAATTTGGGTACATCACTTATCAGCCTACGGAGGATGGGCGCAACGGCTGCAACGCTTGTAACCTCATGACCAGAAAGCACAAGTGTATCACCATTAGTGATAAACCGAGGTGAGGAGGATGTTATCCTGTCACCACCTGTTGCATGCGTGTGACGCGGAGGTCCTAATGCATCGTGCATCATTGGGCGAGGAGCGTGGTCTCTGATGGTCCAGTCTGGCACCCACGAGGGAAGATCCATGTTGGTTGTAGAAAGACAGGCGCCCAGAACGTCAAGGTTTCCGGACTGAAGGATCAGTTGGCGTGTGGCCTTGCAAAAGGCATCTCGGACTGACAACGCATAATCCGGTTCAATGCCGAGGAGTGTTTTCCCCGAGTCGTTGCTCTGGTTGCCAGGCACGAGTCCTAGCAAACAGTTGATTTTGTCTCGTGGATCTCTAGCATCTCGGAATCTGCAGTGAACTAGTAGCTCCAGAAAGGCTCGAGCTGTTGCTGCGGGTGATGAGTTGTCGGGGGAGGACATTTGTGACGAACGCCGCCTCAGCCTCAGAGCATGCATGGACACGTATGGTACCACGATAGGGTTTACTATGAGACCAAGATTGACAGGATTCCAGATCCCAATGGCAAGACCATAATCTATCGCAGTGCAGAACTTCTCCCAGTCGATAGCATATCTGCCCGTGACGATGACTGCTTGTGACGCCAGAAGAATTTCTTGAATTGTCCAGGCTCGGACCCACCACTCTGCGTACGCTAGATGTAAGACACTGCTATCATCGCGGTACTTTTCAGACAATGGGCTTTCAAGAAGCTTGACATCTAAGAGTGAAAGTGTTATGTCGTTCAGATATGCAGGCTCTTGAGCCGAGGGCAAGTCCAGCCCCGAATCTCGACGAGAATGAGCCACAGTAGCTAGTTCTTCAAGCATTTTATATGCTTTCTCTGTGTACTTTGGGTCGCCGTCCCCGAGCCAGACAATGGTGCGAATTGCATTTCGGTAAATTTCATCCCTTCAACAATAGGGGTTAGTAAATATCTTGTTTTGATACAAGGTGAAAGGAGAGGTCATGTAAGGACAAGGAGAATGAAGATTGTATGAGGAGTGAGGCCAGAAGGCTCATACATGTAGGAAACTTGATGATTTCTTTCGCGCACTTCACTCTGGTTGATACAGATGCCGTCCACCCAGACAATACGGGGTTCGTCGACCTTGCGGATATTCAAGAGTGCTGTACGCAGATTCTTTCCAATCATGAGAGTCTTGTCATTGACTCTGACCGGCGTTAACTCTTTCGTATCGCCCCAAACATAGCTCAAAGCCTCGTACGCTTCATGCTGCTCGTTCAAGCGACACTCGAACAGGCGGCAAGCAATGTCATCTTGTCTCGTTCCCGGAAACAGCTCAAGCAGACGAATGGAAGAGGTGCTGGTATCTAGTTGCTCGTAGTCATACGTGCTGTCACTGATATTTTCATTCACAGATCGATCCTAGTGTCTCGGTATCAGGATGCGATTCCGGATGTAGCTCAGGTCTTGCGCTAAGAGGCGGGACTGGACAGACTGGCAAATCAACTGGCTGCTCGACAACCACCTCCTTTGGCTTTCCGCGGATCAATATCTCGAACTGTCCCTCGAGCTGTTCCCAAAGCCGCTGCGACATGATCAACGGCCAGGCGAGAAGATTTGCTTGGGCAACGACTGAATTTTGGTTGAAGAGAGACAAAATTGGGGGAGGCAAAGCAATGGATACGACTACCGTTTCATGTCCTTAAACAGAGTGTTAGCCAATCAGGTAAATTCGAAGGATTCTATCCTGCAGGGGCCTTTATGAGGACAGACCCAACCGCTGGAAATAATTGGAGAATCTAAAGCAGCTGAAACCGGGTCTTTTGACAAGAGACAAAAGCCTGACCGATATAGATAGAGTCAATGGCAATTAAGATCAAATGATTTGTATTGTACATATTGATCCTTGGTATGCACATTAAAGCTCTTTATACACAAGATGCTCACGATCAATAACACGGTGCGTAGACACATATCCTATCTCCAACCTTCAATTATCTAAGCGTTTAAATACTTTTTAACAAATGAGAATTGAGACACAAGAAACTCGCAACGACAAGAACACTAGATTAAGCTGAACAAATTTCTGACATAAATTAGATGCCAAACACTCACTCTCCTACAACGTTTGGAGAATAAGATTACAGTTTCTGTAGCAAAACACGAAGCAGTCGTCAATTTCATTGCAACCCCTCGATGCGATTCCCCATGATTTACCAAATACACAAACAACGTAACTCCAGAGACTCCCGCGCCTCCTCGTTCTCCGTCCCAGGCAAGTCCACGCTCGAATGCAGCGTTCCGCCAGACGCCTTGCCGCCATCCTTCTCCATATCACTGTCAAACAGGCCCACAACAAGTACCTCCTCCGGCTTCTGCTCCTCGACCCAGTACCACTCGTGGCCCTCCGAGTATCTCGCCACGTAGCTCTCCGAGTCATGCGTCTCCGTGCCTGGCCGGCCGAGATACGGCGTCTTCACGTTGACGGGCACGTAGTCGTCCGCCTTGAACGTCCGCTGGTCGCCTAGTGCCAGGGGATCTCGTCTTACCGTCTTCAGCGGCCGCCAGATGGAGAACAGCGCCCAGCGAGGGCCGTCACTGCCGCGATAGCTCTCCTTGAGGCTCTTCCCGGACGCGAGCAGTGCATCCTCGGCGCGGATGATATCCGCTGCAGCGGTGGCAAGATCCGGGTGGAAGTTGCGGATGTGAGTGCGCGCGCCGTTGGGTGCGTAGTCGAGATGGATCTTCGGCGCCGGGCTCGCGCCGCCCTGCGTCGGGTTGAAGCCGATGAACTGTGGGAAGCCGGTCTCGAGCTTGGACAGCTCCTTCGCCTTGGCCTCCTCCGCGGCGCTCTTTGGCGCGTCGCCGTGGCCTGCGTGCGTGGCGAGAGCGTCCTGCGCTGTCCAGACAGCAGATCTGAGCAGGAGCGATTCGGTGATGACGGTCTTGCAGCCCGTGATTTGCTTAAGCATTTCCGCGGTTTCCGGGATGTAGTGCTCCCTCAGCACCTCGGGTTCTTTCCATGACGAGACACTGTAAGGAGACGAATGGAGGCTGACCGGGTGATTCACGGCTGTGAATCCATGTGTATATAGCTGGGCATGATCAACGGCGCCAGGTAGCTGGGCCACCGTCGGGATTGGCCGCATGTCGTGGAGAGGGAGGAGCCGCTCATCGCGGAACTCTGTAATGTCTGGCAGATGGAAGTTGTGTGGGCTCGCTTCGGGAATGTGTCCGGCCTCGACATATCGTAGCTTGCCCAAAACAGTCTTGGCCGGGACTGGTGGGTTGTGACTCTGGAGAGTGAGTGTTTCTGTGACAGTCGTCATTGTCGACATCTTAGACAGGGTTATCAGAATGTAGTACAGAATGGGGTAGTTAGCAAGGAATACAAGCAAGATGTGGAAGTTTAAAGTGTGAAGGATGGAAGAATTCACGAAAACGAAGTTGGCTCATCGAACGCTCTGATATCATCATGCCAAAGGAGCCGATATCAGTCGTGTAAGATAAGCTCACTCCACTTGCGGCTTGGTGGCTATCACACATAAGCTGCCATCCATCGGGCAAGACACGCCGTAGCATACTGACAAGCTACCCCACACTGGAGCTGCTCCGATCCCCGGATCACAATTGACATTATCGTCGGACTTCGCAATCGATCTGACAAAGGTCAGCATGTCCGAGAAGACTATCATTGGTGGGAGGATGCCAGAAGAAGATACGCTACAGGACACGATACTCCAGTCAACATACATCAGAACTGATATCTACAAACTGCTCAGCTACATGCTAATCCTAATCCCAATCAATGAACGCATTGGCAGCAATGGGCCAGATGCTCAAAGCCGTACAACACCACGCTCTCGTCCAACAACAGTAATTCATGAAATCGAACAAAATACTCCGACATCCCATATAGTGGCTACTATGGCCAACATGGAATACTCATTAGACAATGCAATGCTTAAGCTCGAGTTCGACGCTTGGGTGCCGGTGTGCCATTCCCACTCATGCCCAGATTCGCGACTTTGGTTCTGCGAGTCGCCATTCGCGCCATAGACCCTCCCGTGGCAGCGGTCTTCGCGACAGGCTTTGGCTGTGCGCCAGGGGCAGGGGTTGTGGGGCGTGGAGGTATGGAAGAAGGCTTCGTCACGGCCTTTGGTTGCTGAAGCTTCGATGCTCTTGTACGTCGCACGGGTGGCTTCTTGTCAGCTTTCTCAAGTTTCTCGGCCTCCTTCGACGTATCCACCACAGGTTCCTTGTCCTCAACAACAGATGGCTCAGGGAGCTCAACCTCCAGCGCTTTCGGGGGATTCAATTCGACTTCTGGCTCCTCGATCTTGGCTACCGTCACTGTCTTCGAGACAGCAACCTCAGTGCCGTCTTCACCCTGAACTCTGGCCAGAGTTTCGTCCCAGCGCACACCCTTCTTGACCTTAATGACTTGGGCATCCCCTTCACCTCCCCCTGCGGCAGTAGAGCGAGCCTCTCGCGCATCATGGACAGCTCTGACTTCCCTCATCTTCCAAGCGGTAGGATCATCCATCTGCATGGCAAGTACCGCCCGAGGCGGAACAGAGCTACCCTTGTTCTTCCGTGTATTGACACGCGTGACGGTAGCCAGGTCCTTTTCTTCGTTGCGATGACGTGAGGCCAGATTGAGACCGCTGACAGGCCCAATGTCCAGATCCTGCATCATCCCCGACGATCCCGGTAGTCGTACAGGAATCAGCGATAATGCGCCATTAGCAGAGGGAGCTGTAGGCTTGAGAGGAATGCGAGTCTGCCGAGTGCGTGTTGATCGTCGCACTGAGCCCTTCTCTGTCAGGTCTTGAGTGGGATCCATCTCCGGATTGAACACGGAATCAGTCTCCACCTCCATTCTCTTTCTACGCCTCTTCGGTCTTGGGGGAGACGTATCTTCCAGAGATGGTTTGGCAAGCCGATCATTCTCCTTTGAGAAGTCGATATCCACCGCCTCACGAGGCTTTCGCTTCTTGCCAGGGCTAGGACTTTGGTTTAGATCTTTCGCCCCCAATGGCCGGCGCTGACTTGGCAGAACTGTCAATGAATCCATCTTAGGGATTGGTGAGCCAGTTGCCGAGGTGATTGAGCCGGTCGATCCCGATCTTCGCTTGGGTCGCGACTTAGCTCTGGCAGCAGCCGCCGCTTTGGCGTCCTTATCGGCCTTCACGCGTGTGACAAACTTGCGTAGCATTTCGGTCTCGGAGTCTTCGTGAAGGCTCAGACGGGTCGATTCCTCGAGGGGAGCTTCGACTTCCAACTCGACAGTCATGGTCACATCTTCATCGATAAGGTCATCTGCCTCACCCATGCCTATGTCGATGTCATCTTCCTCTTCTTGCTCCAAGACTTCCTGGATAGGCGGAGAAGGTGACTTGGAGACTGATCGTTGGCGACCATTGATCGGCTTGAAGCCTGGGCTTTCAGCTTGCGGAGTCTCGGGTACAGCTTCATTGTGGCCAAGTCCAGTTCCTTCCCGCGCGGTTGGTGACGTAGTATTTTCTTGCGGTGGCGTTCCAGGAAGGGTTATCTGCTCCCCCTTGCAGACACTGACTGCCATTTCCGAGTCCGCATCATACTTGAGGGTCACCATGAACGAGTCATGCGCAGCATCTATGGTGTCCTCCATTTGAACGTCGTTCGTCTGTCCCGTCATGTCCAGATCCATGGCTACAGTAGGCTCATACGCGTCGACGCGCAAGGCAGTTGAGATATCCTCGTCGGGGTTGATATCAGACATGGTGTCATCCTCCTCGCTGGCAGAATCTCCGTCTGTCAGTGCAAATGCAGCAGCTGAGCCTTCATCGCGCGAGACGGCCAAGTCGATTTCTTTGTCGTCATCCGTGAGACTAGATTGAGGGGAGACAGACACAACTTTGTCGGATATCAAAATAGGTTCAGGAGTGTGCTCACTCATACCAGCAGTGGCGTCTTGCTGCTGGTCAACAAGTGAATCGGGTGTTGGTAAGGGTGCAGATGTCGAGCTCTCGAGAGCGATATCAGCTGTTCCAGATTCGTGTGGTTTCTCAAAGGGTGATAAAGTTTGTTGTGGGTGGCTATCAACAAAGGATGTGGTGGCTGCCTGGTCAGATGCCGCCAAACGGCTGGGTGCCTCGTGGCTGATGCCCAAAGCATCTGGAATGCCACCGAGATTCCCCAGTTTTTCACAGTCGAAAGTTTCTTTATCCTGGTCCCTGGACGATGATGCGGCTGATTTCGCTTTGATTGGCGAGCTTGCCATTCTCTCGGCGATTGAATCCGTGGCACGCTTTGGCGAATTCGTCTGCATCACCGGCGAATTGCCGAAGATATCAAGGTTTGTGCGGACATCAACATCAACTGCCACGTCTTGCGCGCAGGCCGAAGAAGTAGTGGTTACTTCGCTGATAGCTGGCTCTGGCCCGGTCTCGCTCTGCTTCTCTTCTTCCGGCGAGGTGACCTGAACCGTAATCTGGTCTGCACCGACGCTGAAAACATCGAGAGTATGCCTCCTGCCTTTCACGTCGTTCTGGGCAATATCCTGAGGCATGAAGCTATGCCGGCGGTTTGGAGCCTTGTGTGTCTCAAAGTTGAGAAGCCTCTCCACGCCACTAGAGCGTCGCCCGCTGCGCCTCGCGTTGTGCAAAGAGGCGCGCCGCCTCGTTTCGTATTGCGGCTCGGTCACGACATCTGGTTGAGGTTGATCAAAAAGGACAGGGGGCAATACACCTGTAGTGGCTGGTAATGTCTGTTCCTCGTCAATTGAGGAGCCTGTACTGGTATTCTCCCCCTCGGCAATCGATTCCAAACTACTGCCCTTCATGGGAGACTTCATAGGAGACATGATCCTAAAGTCAGGCCTGCCAATCATAACCTTTGAAGGCGTCGCAGAGATTGTGAACTCCTTCACCGGAGACATCGAGACCTTGGTCGGCGACAAGTGTCGTAGAGTAGATCTCTTCAGCGGCGAAGAGTAGTACGGCGTAGCCTTGACAGGTGAACCAGCAACCGGGGCCTCGTCGAGGCTCTCCTCAATCGGCGCCAGAGACAACCGTCTGCTCAGGCGTCTTGTCGACCGTCTTCGCATCTGTTTATTGTCCACCGGCTCGGCAATTGGCTCCACAATCTTGCTCTCCATATCAGCAGTCGGCACCTCAAACTCAACCAAAGGCTGCAGCTCCGCCAGCATGGGGCCCGTCTTCTTGGGCTGCTCGATCGGCCAGCGCGTATTGTGCCTCTTCCTCGGGACCCACGCGAGCGTCTCCCCGTCAAACGACCCTCGCTTCGTCCTATAGATCACAGGCCTCTTCGCAGCCTCCTTCGCAGCGGTAACGGACACTATATCCCGATCAGTTTGGCCCCCCTCTACACGCCTCGCATCGCGCCTCAACGCACCTCTCGCCTCTACCAGATCCCACTTGCCGTCCGGCACGTGTCCCATCCCCGCGACGTCCCAGCTGGCGTCTCCCCACGCGCGCACAAAGCCTCCTGTCCTGGCGCGTTTCCTCGAGCCGTGCCCCTGGCTCTGGAGCTCCGCGAGCGCGGTGGTGTCGTTGGACGGCGGGCAGAGGAGGCCGAAGCGCTTCCAGATCTTGCGCTCGCCCAAGCGAGGGTTGGCAGCGGGCACGGGGACGCGGTGCCACGGCTTGGGGTTGGGTGCCGAGGGGGGCAGAAAGCTCGCGGCGGTGATCATGTCGCTGAGCGGAACATACAATTGTTAGTTCTCGAAGAGAAGGGTCCGTAACCAGAAGGAAGAGAAGAGTCGGTATATACCTGGTTTCTCGCCATGTGTTGGTTTTGAGATTGGGCTCCTCTTGCGGGGCGGACGCCGAGGCAGCGCTGCCCGCGAATGGTGAGCTCCCCATAGCTTAGCAGAGGACTGCCTAGAGTAAACAAAGACGAAATTGATAGTTTCTTCAAAGATGCATGTATGTATCTGTGTGTTGTTCTTCACTAGATGTAAAATTGGAAGCAGTTGTATAAAGGAAGTCTGTGCCCTCACGACATAGTCTGGCAGGTATGCTCTCTAGACGACGCGTTTTTGGTGCAGCAGATAAGTAGGTGGTGGGTGTCAGGGCCGGGTCTGAGATATGGTCGCCGGGCAAGCAGAGACACCTACATTTTTGTTGTTGACATTTGGTATTTTGGGCCAATCAGGTGTAAGTCCACTGTAGCCGCCCCAACATGGCTAGACCGAGACCCACACCAACCTAAAGGGACTACCTTGAGGGCACGTGACCTCAAAAATCTCGGGCGATCTCAAGATAGTTGCTCAAGCTCGAAGAGCTGATCAGGCCAGCAAACGGTGAGCGACGACAACCGACCGCACCACAAGCCCCTAACGCGGAAAAGGACTCAGTCCCTCAATTGATGCATATATAACGGCCAAAGGCTCTTCTGGCGTTTATCACAGCTGGTTGAGGGCCCCGCGCACCCTCCAGACCACCAAACATGTCCTCCGTCAAGAAGCCCATGCGTCTCCCACCTCTGCGCACCCTCCGCGTCCGCAACCCCAACCAGTCAGAGGGCAACCCTTGCGTGACGATCATGTCCTCCGTGCTAGGTGAGCCCTCTCTTTACCTCCCATCCCAGAGTCTTCCAAATCTCAAGTCCAGTCGAGCTAACGAGGCTGCTTGAACAGCATGCTGGGCCTCCTCAGGCTACAACACAGCCGGCTGCGCCGTCGTCGAGCAGGCCCTGCGCCAGTGCATGGACTCGCCGCCGCCGACGGACAAGCGCAAGAACACCGTCAACTACCACCTGGCGCGGATGCAGAAGTACATTGAGCCGAAGAGGAAACACAAGTAGATTCGAAAAATTCGAAGCGGGCCGGACGGGATCGTGGCGCGACGGACCAGTCCGACTGTGAGCAGGGGAGAGGGGATGTACGATCTGCGGAGAGGGAGCTGGAGAAAAGTGCCTTGACCCGAGAGGGCCGCGATTATATATACCCCTCCGGATATTATTTCAAGAAAGAAAGAAAGACGGACAGAGAAGCACAGGCTGCCTACACGAAGAGGGTGCGGCTACCGATCAGAGCAACCCTCAAGCGGTAGAGGGAGGAAGAGGAATAGTAGCATCCACACTCGGCGTTTTGCAGGGAAATCTTCATCAGGAAAGGAGAAGCTGGGTCAGATACGCCCATACCTGTCCCTTTATGTCATCACGATACAGTGTACAATATGTACGATATACAAAATGTATAGAACCATTTGCAGGGTCTTCACCATATCAAAACACTAGCAAGTTCACCCAGTCGGCCCATGATGCGAATTCAAACGTCTCTATCATGAAGCGAGTCACAATGGCACCATGATTAAGTCAGTGAAACATGAAGGGGCAAGAACAATCACATCAATTAAACGAACCGCCTGTAACTAGCGCCGGGTCCCGTGCATTTGAAATGCGCAGCAAAAACAACACAAAAGTATCTGGATGATCATCGTCGCCAGGCCCAGAACCGACAGGCACACCACGGCCATATCCCCTTTCCTACTCATTTCTCCTTTCGGGCGGGTCAGATCAACAGCTCCTCGCATTAACCAAGCCAAGCAAGGCAGAGCCATCTCCGAGTCTCACACTCCCCTCTCCTCATTGCAGCCACTGGGTATTGTTGCCCTCATCTTCTTCGACTTTACTTCAAGCTGTTACCGCCTCCTTCAAACAGACAGACAGATAAATAAACAGACGAGACTTGCGCCCACACCCTCCCCTATGCGCAGTATCATAGTAGTCTGGACAAGACTCCATCTAAACCAAAGCTTCTCCCCTCCATAAACAAGTCCCGAGCGTAAAGATTGACACCGGTCAGTCACTCAGGGAATATAGACGGAGCAGACTTCAAAAATCAGAATAAAAACAACGAGCGTGCGTGTCGTCGACGTAGAATCGTAATCGTAGGTCCTCCGTCGTCCTACATAATTCAATCCAAGACACCTGGGATATAAATCCCATTCATTCATCAAAACGAGAGGAGCCAGTTCCCGGAAAGGCCAGGAAAGTAAACAAAATGTAATATCTTCAAGAAGAGAATGTGATGGAGGAAAGGAGGGAAGAAAGCCTTATCCAGTGGATGCAGGCTTGGCGCTGTATGTAATGTTTGTGGATCTGTTCGTGTAGAAGGGGCAAGAGCGAACGGTGCGTCTGTCTATGTGATATTCGAGATGAGTAGCGCAAGTGTTCCATCGAGTAAGCCGTGATGACCTGTCAGATCTGCCATTTCGTGATATTTGGTATCGGTGATATAATATTCCTGGGAATCCGGGGCGCCTGTTGATGCAGAAAGACGAAATGGACATGCTCCGGATATGAGATTTTTCGAAAGGTCGCTTGATGCGTAACCCACTTTAGCTGGTCTCGCCGACGCAGAAGAGCTCGATCTCGCCGACGCCGCCGCTGTACATGTTCCTCACACCCTCTCGCCATTCCAGGAACGCAATCTGGATGTCGTCGTCGCTCTCAATCGATACGAAGTCACCGTCCTCGTCGCGGTAGCGCAGCCTCAGATTGCCCTTACCAATACTGGATGCTGTGAACCTCGCGAGCTTGGCATCAATCCGGTCGATGAGGGACTGGTAGGTGATGTTGAACGCAACGACGAGGGTAACATAGTTGCCGCTGTCGCAGTTGACCTTGACCTTCAGCTGCGTCGGAATGGGTAGGTCCGGGAGGCTCGCGCTCGGAGGGGGTTGGGTAGCGGTTCCTAGTCCTGGGGTCACCATCCGTACTGCTTCAGAGTTGAGGTTAAGAGGCGCCGGTGCCATTCCTGAGGGGCCTGGTGTATTCTGTCTGGGGTAGAGTGGCTGGGCTGGGAACTGAGCCATTTGGCCGCCCATGCCTTGCTGTTGTAGCCTTTGATTCTGGACACCTGGACTCTGGGTATTAGCTCGGATCGGCAAATCGTTCCTCGGGCTTCCTGTCTGGCTCCTCGGAATATTGCTATCATGCCTCTCATGGGCCGCATGCAGATGGGGTGGGATACCTGGTACGGCCGGGACTCCTTGGCTTCCGCCCCTTTCGGTCCTGCGGATGGGCATCGCCTGTCCATTAATATCAGGCGTCGAGTAAGATCTGCTGCGTTGCGCTTGCGTTATGGCCGAGGACGCCATCACTGGCAATGAAGGGCCGCGGGGATTCCGTCCTACCATACCATACGCGTTGACGGGCGAGGGACCATCTCTTGATGGAGCACGAGGCATCGCTGGAGCTGTGTACCTGTTGTTGTCCTCTCCCCATCCGGGCTGCGGGGTGCCAGTCTTCGGGAAGGGGTAGCCAGCGCTTCCGGGGAACATGCTCGAAGCAGTGCTTGTTCTTGATGACACCGGTGATTCACCAATAGGAGAGAAGTAGGAGTCTCCTCCGCGTGGTCCAGGAGAAGGTTGCGCGGGAGCAGTCATTTGCGTCTGGACAGACAAGGGACCGGGCGGCTGAGGTAAGGGGTACCGCGGCGGCGGAGCTCGTGCGATACCGGCCAGAGATTGTGTGCTCTCTCCCGTGGCCGACCTTTGTCGAAGACTTGTACTAGAAGCATTCCGGGTCATGGTTCCTACGATGGGTTGCGGGGGCGGCGCTCCATAGCCTGATGAGGTAGGGGGGGTATAATCGTCATCGTCATCCTCGTCTTGCTGAGCATAAGGGTTCGCCATGTCTCCCATCTGGTTCTGCATCCACGCAAAGGTCGGTGGTGGCCGGTCAGGGCTCGTAGTGACTTGTGGCGCATTCTCCTTTCTCTGCGCGTCAAGGCCGGCCGCCCACTTCCTCATCATCTCTTCATTCTGGAACCGGATCACGAAGTTCTCCACTCCCGGGTCTCCCTTCCACCAGATTTGCACCGTGTAGGAACCTAAAGATGTCAGTCTTGACCTTGTGATTTGTTGAAAGGTAGTCGTACCTGGTTTGGCGAAGGACAAGACTTCGGTGACGTTAGTCATGAAAATTCGACCCTTCAGTTGTAGTTTGGCGTTCTTGTTCCGGACCTTGGGGCCGGTCGACCTCGTTTTATCCTTCTTATCCTTACTCTTATTTTGTGCAACCTCCTTGCAGCAAAGCAAGATGCATTCAAAGAGATAGATCTCATAATCCTTCTCCTGGTCGCTCTTGCCCGTGACAACAGTATACACTCCATGCAATAGCAGTCTCCCGAACTGCTCAACTCGGTGATTCTTCCAGTCGTCAACACGGTGGACCAGCTCATCCAGGGCTTCATCTAGAAGGTCTCGGTCGACGGCTTCGTTTGCCTTCTGCAGACATCGTTCGGCAGAGGAGATGCCCTGAGCTAGATCCACCTTGATCGCTTCATCGTCGCTTTTCTTTAGCAGATCCTAAAAGCTGTTAGCCCTTGAAACACGTTCCAGTGTGCGAAATGCCTTGCCTTCAGCAGCAGAGGATATTTGACCAATCTCTGCATGGGCTTCAGAAGAAAACCATCCAGGGTGTTGAAGTCGCACGCCACCGGATGCTGCACAGATTGGATCTTGTCAAACACCTGACCAGCAATCTGGGCAGCCTTCCGCTGGTTCGCGATAAAGGGTTGATAAATACTGAAAGCGTCTTCGTAGGCCACAAACGGGCCACCCCATTCTTGCCTCTGCGAGGGCATCGAATTTGTCGTCTCGACACGAATCAGAAAACGGCGTTGGAAGTCCAAGATAGCATTAATGTTGAGGAAGATCTGGTGAACAATGTCACCAGGAATGACACCCCTCTGATCCAGTGCCTTCTTGAGGTCGTAGAGATTTTCTAGATCCTGGACGTATTTTCGTTCCGTATCAACGAGTTCTCGTACGATGTGGTCGCGGTAGCTCATCTGCTTGCCAGCCGGGGCTGGGGTGTCATCTTCGGGATATGGTTGAATTGTTCGCAGCTTTCCCTTCTCCTCTGCTTGGTCAAGAACGAGATTCACTACACCGAGAACCTGTCACAACACAATGTTAGAAGTGTGGCCGCAGATTGCGCGAGCTTCTCCAGCTGCGAAGCAAGCTCCTGTGAGGATTAGGATTAGGCAGGATAGCTTACCTTGACAAAACCCGTCGTGTCATTTCCCGTCAAGTCGTTGATGACGAACATTTCGGTAGAGGGGATGTTCAAGTGCTTCAAGCAGGCCTGGACGAACTTAAAAATGGCCAGCTTCGCCCTCTTTTCCTCGGACGCGCTAGTCTGGTCGACCTCGAGTCGCTGCTCCGGCTCCAATGTGTTATAGATCATGAGCAGCGGGTGGCCCGTCCGCAGGAGGCTCCAGACGCTCTCTACCGGCCCGCCGTCCTCCGTGTCTTCCTGTTCCCATCGGGCCAGCTGGTCTAGGTAGCCTTCGAACCCGGGCACTTGGCCCAGCCTCTGCTTGAGGGCAACGCACATCTGGTATAGCGACCTGGAGGCGTCGGCCTTCTGGTTGATGATGTTGCTGGTGGCCACGACCTGGCCATTTGCGGGGGGTGAGACGATAGTCGCCGCACTGGAGAGGGAGGTGAGGGAGGTCGTCGAGGTGAAGGCTGTCGAGCCGGAGAGCTGGCTGGCCCGAGGGGTGCTGCCGACGCTCATGTTCTGCAGCCGCGCGACGCCGTCTGCAGAGTGTGGGTAGACGGGTGCGGTGTTCGTTCTCAGTAATGGTGCGGCCATGGCTTCTCCATCCGCCGAAGAAGGCGCTTCGCTACCGCGTTGTGTGTCGTGCCGCAACACAGACTCCTCGCTGGCGATTCAGCGCGAGTCAAGTCGAGCCGTATCTTGTATATGCAAGAGGAGGTACGCAATACACAGGCCCGAGAATGGAGAATGGAGGGGTAGGTTGTCGCGGAAGAGGGATGTGAGGGATGGGATGCTGCTGGAATGCGGCTGCCACAACAAGAGACAGTCACCGACACAGACACTGCCAGACAGTCGGGCGCGGGGCTCGAAGGATGGAGCCAGTCGTTGGATCTGCGCGTGCGCAGCAGACGGGGAGCAGGGCAGTGTGAGCAGCTGGGTGACTGAGTGACTGAGTAACTGCCTGCACTGTCGATTGCTCCGACCTCTCGATGATTCAATTCCAGCGAGATATGCGTCTGTCGTCGCTTTTCTCCCTCGTCAGGGTGGGGGAGTCGTGGATTCGATACGGAGTCACCTCATTCAATCCAAGTCCAAGTCCCAGCCTTTTCCGCACCAAAATTTCCGCGCGGAGGGG